CTGCCTCGGGGTATGGTCCCTGTCCTCTTAACCCGGCCTGGCGCACGGCCGTGGGGCAGACGCTGCGGTGCGCGGTGTCCCGCAAGAGGGAGCCTCTGCAGCACCTGCGAGCAAGGACGCAGCGCTCGTCCCTGGCGGGGAAGAGTGGGCCGCTTCTGTGCCCTCGGAAGGCTTGCGGGCTCTGGGGACTTGCGCTTTTGGGGTGCGTCAGCCCAGATGTGTGACTCTCATGCGTCAGGGCCCCGCCTGGCATAGCGACCCATCTAGGTTGGGGGTTTCCCCTTCTTGGGAGCTTGGCTGCTTTTATGGCCAAGTCCTGGGCATGGCTCTCGGCTTTCTCTGCCTCTCAGCTGCGGGAGACAGAAGCCCCTGCGTGTGCGCCTGAGGAGCCTTCACACCTGGCTTCTAATCGCCTCGTGATCTCTCGGCTTTTTTCTTTTTCTGAAGTCCTTCCACGTTTGGCAACCGCCACCCAGTTTCGCCGTTCTCATACTTACTCTGTCCCCTGACCTCTCTCCGACTCCCGACGTATGGAGCCCGCTAGTGAGTTGTCTTCCGCGAGAGTCGCACTGGCAGCTCGTCAGGGGCGGCCGTTTCTCCACAGTCTCCCTGCTCCCCTGTGCCCGAGCTATCGGCTCTGCCCCTACCAACCACTGGGGGGCGTCCTCGCCGCAGTCAGAGGTGCAACTCCACGTCTCGTCTTAGCACCTGCGTTCTGCAGCCCGCTCCAGGTATCCGGTCACAGCTCGAGCTCCCCAGGAAGCAGATTCTGAGAGGAAGATGGGCTTGCAGGGAGTGCCCCAGGATCTACGCCTGCAGGAGGGAAGGAAGCAGCGCTGGCCAGAGAAGGAAGTTGAGATCGAACACCGTCCCAAGCTTGGGTGAAGGGATTGGGCCTTTAACAGCCCCACTGACCAATCACTGCATGCAGGCTGCCCAGAAAGGAGGCGCGAGCCTGGTCACGATGATGTTCTTCAGCTGAGGAGACTCCCAGAGAGGACGTGCAGCTGAGGGCCGTCTGCTGGCCACACTCCAGTGGCTGGGGGAGGCCGTCCTTGCGTCCCGGAGGGCATCTGGACAGCTGATCCCAGTAGCTGCTAGATTGGACACAGATGCGGGCTGGTGTGTGGCGGGATGTTGGTTAGCAGAAAGCAAGATCACCTGGAGACAGAGAACGAGGGGCGTGGGCACTGACTCAGAGAAGGGGTGGGGCGGCCCCTGCCCTCGGAGGGGTCTGTTTACAAACTCAGATTAAATCAGGTGAGATTCCTGATTAAACTCAGAGCTTTTTGCTTAACTGTACTTCTTTTTCTTAATGTACTTTTACGTGTATTTATTGGAAAAATTTTAAGTATATTTGGAACAACTTGAGTATGTGAGTCTACTTTTTCAACTCTAAGATTCATGAGATTTAAACACAAATCAAGGCTCGGTGCGGTGGCTCAAGCCTGTAATCCTAGCTCTCTGGGAGGCTGAGGCGGGCGGATCGCTTGAGCTCAGGAGTTCGAGACCAGCCTGAGCAAGAGTGAGACCCTGTCTCTACTAAAAATAGAAAGAAATTAGCTGGACACCTAAAAATATATAGAAAAAATTAGCCGGGCATAGTGGTGCATGCCTGTAGTCCCAGCTACGCGGAGGCTGAGCTATGATCGTGCCACTGCACTCCAGCCTGGGCGACAGAATGAGACCCTGTCCCTAAAATATACACACACACATATATATATATTAAAAAAATAAAATCACATTTGGCTCACGTGGTATTTCTTTTGCACAGCATGCAGTTTTCACGATGGCCACCAGATGGCAACGCTATCCCGCGGTTGCGGTTTTCACCCTCCCAGGAGGCCAGTGGGCGCGGCAGGTGGCAGAGACAGGGTCTGCCAGTAAGTGAAAAGGTTTGCGCTCGCTGCTCCGTTTTTATATTAATTACGCATCACATTCATTTGTATGTAGACGGCTGACGACATAATAATGAAATATATGTCCTTTACTCTCTGTTTAAGAGCAGGTCTCCCCCACCGAGCTGGGAGTTTCCTTAAAAGATTGGGCTCCTAATATTTTTATTTCAAGTCCCACTCCTCTGCCCAACGCCTCTCTTTTTGCTTCTCTCCCTTTCACGTGTTCATTCTCCACATCCAAGTTCAGCCCTTTTCATGTCCTTGGCGATTAAATTGTGTATATAACTTTAATTTCAACATATTATGACCCCCTGTCAGAACATCTAATATTTGGAGCTATGTCATCCATAGAGGAAAAAAAAATCTAGTATTCCACAAGGCAGAGAAGGGTATTAGGAAAAACAGTGAAAGAGAAAGGCAGAAGGAGCCCCGCCCCATTCCTACCAAGATGCCGGCTTAGTGCGGCCTGCTGCCTGCCTCCCCCAAGACCAGCCTTGAAAGAACTTTCAGGATATGGAGAAAACTGGGAGAAAGACCCGGGAGAGAAAGGGCTGATTGGAACCGGCAGTGGTGCGTGGCCACAGCTATGGCCAGGGCAGGAGGCCGCCGATCGGCGGTGGCAGGATAAAGTGGGAAATGAATGACGCGCCTCTCCCTCTCCCTCTCCCCCGGCTGCAGTACTTTGGGGTGACAGACGCCTGCCCCAGGCCCGTCTGGGACAGCTAGCACAGGTGTCCTCGGGCTAACACGGGTCACGCAGCAGCTCTGTTCAAGGGAGGACATAAAAAATACCTACAACTGTAAAGAATACATCAAATTTTATGGAGTGCAACGAAAGTAGTGCTTGGAGGAAAATCTGCAGACTAAAATATTAGGGAAGAAGAAAAGCTGAAAATGAATGAGAATATCCAAATTAAAATATTAAAAAAAAATCACAAGTGAATAAACACAAGGAAATTAGGAAGACAGCAATACCCTGATGTCAAAACCATGTAAAACATAGGCCGGGTGCGGTGGCTCACGCCTGTAATCCTAGCACTCTGGGAGGCCAAGGCGGGCAGACTGTTTGAGCTCAGGAGTTCGAGACCAGCCTGAGCAAGAGCGAGACCCCTGTCTCTACTAAAAATAGAAAGAAATTAATCAAACAACTAAAAATATATAGAAAAAATTAGCCGGGCATGGTGGCGCATGCCTGTAGTCCCAGCTACTCGGGAGGCTGAGGCAGGAGGATCGCTTGAGCCCAGGAGTTGGAGGTTGCTGTGAGCTAGGCTGACGCCACGGCACTCTAGCCCGGGCAACACAGTGAGACTCTGTCTCAAAAAAAAAAAAACACCATGTAAAACATCACAAGAAAATTACAGACCAATATCCCTCATGAATATAGATGGAAAAACCTTCAATAAAATACTAGCAAAGTGAATCCAACAGCATATTGAAAGGCTTATACACCATGATCCAGTGGGATTTATCCCAAGCATGCAAAGGGGTATAAGAAATAACATAAGAAAATCAATCAATGTAATACACCACATTAATAGAAGGAGAAAATCACATCTCAATTGATACAGAAAAGGCCTTTGACAAAATCGAACACCCTTTCATAACAAAAAGCACTCGGAAAGGTAGGAATAGAAGGAAACTTCCTTAATATGATCCAGGGCATTTGTGGAAAACCCACAGGTAACATCATATTCTATTCAATGGTGAAGAATTGAAAGCTTTTCCAATAAAGTCCAAGAACAGACAAGGATGCCTGCTTTCACCACTGCTATCCAACATGGTACTAGACATCCTAGATAGAGCAATTAAACAAGAAATAGAATTCATCCAATTTGCAAAGGAAAAAGTAAAACTATCTCTATTTGCAGATCATATGATTCTATACAAAGAAAATCCAAAGAATCTACAAGAAAGCTGCTCGAGCTAATAAATTCAGGAAAGTTGCAGGGTACAAGATCCAAACACAAAATTCAGTTGTGTTTCTTTACATCTGCACCTGCAATCTGAAAAGGAAATTAAGGAACCAACTCCATTTACAATGGCATCTAAAAGAATAAAATACACAGAAATAAACTTAACCAAAGAGGTGAAAGACTTGTACATGGAAGAGAATGAAATATCGCTGAAGGAAATTAAAGACCTAAATAAATAACACATCTTGTCTTAATGGGTAGGAAGACAATACTGTAAAAATGTCAATACTACCCCAGATGGTCTGCAGATCCCAAGCAATCCCTATCAGAATTCCAACAGCCTCTTTTGCAGACATGGAAAAGCCAATTCTTAAATTTATATGCAATTTCGAGGGGCTCCAAATAGTCCAAACAACCTTGAAAAAGAACAAGGAGGACCCCCACTTCCCAATTTTGAAACATACTACAAAGCTGCAGTAATCAAAATAGTGTGGCCAGCCTCGGTGGCTCACACCTATAATCTTAGTTACTTGGGAGGCTGAGGCAGGAGGATCCCTCGAGCCCAAGTGCATGGCTACACTGAGCTATGATCACACCACTTCACTCCAGCCTGGGCGACAGAGCAAGACTCCATCTCTAAAAAATCCCAAAGAACAGTGTGGTACTGGCATAAGAATACATATATTATAGACCAATGCAATTAGGATTGAAAAATCCAGGAATAAACCCATACATCTATGGCTACACAGTGGAGCTCGTGCACAGCTGTGCAGGGCGGTGGGGCGTGAAGCAGGAAGTGGGTGCTTGGAGGCGTGTTCCGAGACACTGGGTGTGGGGTTCACAGAGAAAGGTGCCTGGCGTGAGTGGTGGAGGAGAAACCTTCATTGGAAGGCTGCCTTGGTACCAATGCCGACCTGCAGGGCTATAGACTGCATAGCGTGGCCAAGGACTACTGCCTCCTTACAAAAGTTCTCTAGGTGGAGCTGGCTTCAGCAGGTAGGGCCTGAATTCTAAACCCAGGGTGGAGTCTGAACAAGGATGAGATACGATAGCAGGCTTCCTGAAAAGGCGGGGTTGCCTGGGTAACTGCAGCTTCCCAGGAAACCAGTGGGGAGACCCTTGGTGAGAGACAAGGACAGCTCCACCCTCAGCCCCCACGATACAGAGAGACTCGTGCAGTGCAGTCGGTGCTTTTGAACAGATGCTTTTAATGAGGAATCTTGGGGTGGGGGCGACAGGAGCCTCGGGCTCAGTTGGCGGCCAGGATCTCCTGAACCCAGGGCAGGAGCGCGGTGACGCGGGCGTACACGGCGGGCGTGGAGGTGGAGCAGGTGCTGCTGCCCCAGGACACGATGCCCACCAGGGTCCAGGCTCCGTCCTTCTGGTAGACCAGGGGGCCGCCAGAGTCGCCCTGCGGGAAGGAGAGAGGACGTGTCTCCAGGTCTGATAGAGTGCCCCGCCCTGGCAGAGTCCAGGGAGGGGTCAGATAGGCGACAAGTGTGGGCTGGGGCTATGCCCGAGTCCCTCAGGTCTGGATCCAGGGGGCGGTCCCAGCTCCTCTGCTATTCACCCCTGTGGGGAGGGGCTTCCCTCTCTAAGCCTGGTCACCGCCTGTCGCATGGGCTGACACATCCAGCTCAGACAGAAACGCACCCCGGTCTCCTGCCTGGGGTAAGGAAGCCCCACATGGGGCGTGGGCCCGTGAGCCTCACCCCGGCCTCCGCTCTGCACCGGGAAGGAGTGCAGTTATTAGGTGAGGGTGGTGGGAGACAGGAGCCCAGGCCTCCAGGGTGGGAGACCTGTGGCCCCCTGGCCCAACCAGGGTCTAGGTATAGTCAGCGAGGCGGGCAGGGCAGCCCCAGCGGGCCTTACGTTGCAGGAGGAGACGCCGTTGGCCCCGGCGCAGATCATCGTGTCGGTGATCTTGCTGCCCCAGGTCTTCTTGCAGTTGGCGGTGGACACGACGGGCAGGGCCGCCTGCTGCAGCTTGCTGGAGGTCTGGTTGGCTGCAGGATGGGAGGAGGCGGGTCAGGGCCCTTGGCCCACCAAGCCCACCAACGTGGGGGTATTGGGCACCCCACCTGCCCTCCCCTGCGCCACCTTTCCCTTCACCATTGCCACGTGGTGGGAATGTCCCCCACAGCCTGAAAGCGTCTGGGACAGGGTCCCTTCAGAGGCCACACCAGGTGGGGACTCTGCACCCCCAGTCTGGAGAGCAGCCAGGGCTGGCCCCTGGCACCGCCGCCCGCTGCAGGGGAGCAGGGCAGGGCTTGCTCACGAGAAACTTACTGCTCAGGGACCTCAGTGTTGGGCCCGTTTTTATCCCCACTTGGTATATTTTTAATTCAGAGGATTTTCAGTAAAGACATGGACGGACTTAGCACTGTGTTGGAGTCAGACCAAAGCAAGGTCTCCCTGCGGGTCACCTGGACACTCCGCCGCTCAAGCAGCCCAAGCGCAAGGCAGCCCCGGCCTGGAGAGGCCCCGAGCACTCACAGGTGTACTTGGTCTTGCCCCAGCCAGTGGTGACACACAGCGACCCCGCGGGGAAGTCGTCATTGGCGCTGGGCAGGCACACGGCGGACACGGTCTCGGAGAAGGTGGCCGGCGTGGCTAGCTTCAGCAGGGTGATGTCGTTGGTCACGGTGAGCAGGCTGAACTTGGGGTTCTTGAAGACCTGCGGTGAGGACCAGAACGCCCCGCTGAGCCCCGGGGGCGTCGGGGACCTGCGGCTTCCAGGGGACAGAGTCCTTCCTGGAAGGAACAGCCTCAGAGCCAGATGGAGACCCCGAGGCTGCCCCAACCCCTCGGGGCTCCTGCCCCTCCTGCCCGGCCGGCCCCTGGGCTGAGCCGCCGCTGGGCGCACCTGGGCGATCTTCAGGACCTGGACGTTCTCCTTGTCAGAGCTCTGGTCAAACTCCCCAGCCACAACGAGGTCGGAGGTCCTAGACAAAGCGAGGAGTGAGGCCTGGGAACGCAATGCGCCGCCCCGCTCCCCACCCAGCTGGACCTGGAAGCAGAGCCCGAGGCTGCCCGGCTCTCACGTGACCCCGCAGTGGGCGGCGGTGACCACCCAGTCCTCGCTGATGAGGGAGCCCCCGCAGAAGTGGAAGCCGGTGTTGTCCTGGGGAGAGGGATGGGAGGGTCAGCAGCTCCCCGGCCTGGCCCCCTCCCCAGTGCATCCCCCCACCATGCCCGGAACCCCCCTCACCTGCAGGGACACCTGCCAGGGCCAGGAGCCCGGGACGGCATCCTCCCCATTGACGATCCTGGCTAGGCCAGTGAGCACGGGCTGGATGGCGGGGACCCCGCAGCCTGGGGGTGGGAGTGGGGTGAGGAGGGGCTGAGGTCTGCATTGCAGAACTGCTGGTTTCTACATCTGGTCACCCAGGCCAGCTCGGGACCCCACTGTGACAATGCCACCTCCTTTGGAAACTTCCCCTGGTCTCCCAACCTCTAGGCTCAAATACCTCCCCCATGCGGGCGGCCTGCGGACCCCAGGCTCCCTTCCAGGGATGCAGAGGGACGTGGCTGCCCCCACCTGGCCAAGCCTGGGACTGCCGGGCTCACCCTCCAGGCCCACCCCTTCCTGGCTGTGTGACTTAGACCAGTTGTGGCAGCGCTCACATTCCCAATGTCCCCAGCTGTCAAATGGGGGTCAGAACAACACTAACGCCACAGGTCACAGCTCTTCTGTGACACTTGGAGGGGGGAGGAGATGTAGAATGACAATCTGAAACCCCACATCCATGGGGAATGTGGGACTCTGACACTTTGCTGACGGGAGTGTAAAATGCGCCATTTTACACTGCGGGTGCACCCTGAATTCTGTATTTTTGTGACACTTCACAATTTCAGGGTCTATTCATTGTGTAAAGTTTTGATTTCTTAATTTTTTAAATAAAACCAGACTTTGATTCCACCTAATAAAAGGATGCATCAAGAGAGCAGAAATCAAACAGAAGGATGAGAAAAGGCAGGTGACTTCACAGCTTCACACGTCCAGGATGCATTTGCTGCCAGGACGAAATGAGTTCGCCGCCCCGTGCACGGCTCCGCGCTTGGGTTTTACACTCGAGCAGGTACAGCCCCTCCGGCCAGCCATCCACTTCCAGGGTCAGACTCGCCTGCCACAGGCCGAGCCCCTGCCTCTCCTGTCCACAGGACACGGAGACGGGCAAGGCCCTTCCCGGAGGAGGGGTATCACCAAGAAAACAACTGGGGCAGGTGCGGAGGCTCATGCCTCTAACCCCAGCACTTTGGGAGGCTGAGGTGGGAGGATCACTTGAGCCCAGGAGTTCAAGACCAGCCTGAGCAACATGGTGAGAACCTGCCTCTACGAAAACACAAAAAATTAGCAGTGTGTGGTCATGCACCTGTAGTCCAGCTACTCAGGAGACTGAGTCAGGAGGACTGCTTGAGCCCAGGAGTTGAAGGTTACAACGAGCTATGATGACACCACTGCACTCTAGCCCGGGCAACCAAAAAAATAAAAAAATTGGTATTGGACTAGCAAAAAAATTGGAAACCAATGGTGGTGAAGTCACACGAGAGAGAGCGCATTACACTGATGCAAGTGAACCAGCTGCCTCTGCTATTAGCACGGAGAGATCTAAGAAGCACGCGAGCGCGACACAGCACAGACGGACATGGAGTTTAAAATACTGTGGATGTAAACTTCCAAAAACCTGTACGTGGTTCGTGGATTGATAAATGTGCAGTACCTTTGCATGAACCCGCCCAGGAATGACACACAGCAAGTTCAGAATGAGCTTTGCCTTCCAGAGAGGGAAGGGGAAGCTTTAGCTGAAATCTATTTTATGTTTTAAAAAGAAATATCTGAAGCAAATCTGCAAAAAAATAAGATCTGCTAAATTCCAATGGTAGATACATGGATGTCATAATATTTTCTATATTTTTTTCTTACAATTTCTTTCTTTCTTTAAAATAGAAAATGCTTAGCACATGCCAGCACGATAAATAAAAACCCCAGGTGGAGGCCATGGGAGGTCCCCTGTGCTGTGGCCACACCTTACCTTGCCACAGCACCCCGGTCTCGGGCCACCTCTGGAGCCTCGGACCACGGCAGAGCCCAGAGCGCCTCCTCCCCTCCTGGTGCAGGTGTGAAGGCTCAGAAAGGCCTAGGGGACCCCTCTCCTCCCTTTGGCCCCAGGACAGAGCCCCTCTGGCGCAGACAGGCCCAGCTGTGGGGGACCCAGGCACACGAGGCCTCCTCCCAACCTTCCCAGCTGGCGGCCACCGGCCCAGCACTCACCAAAGGCGGCCCCCGCAAGGGCAAAGCAGGAGAGGAGCCAAAGAAACGCCATGGTGCAGCAGCCAGGGAGGTGTGGGGCCTGCCGCTGGGGGCCCCTTTTACGTCCCCCGCACCCGCAGACCCCGCCCAGCCCCTCTGGCCCTGCCCAGGCCCAAGGCCTGAGGGCCACCCTCCCTGTTATCCAGGGACCTTGGGTGATAAGTGGGGGCCAAGCCCTCTGCACAGCCCGCTGGCTCTCAGCCGGGGACACCTCAGTGCCTGGGAAAGGGGCAGCTGCCCTGTCCCCACATCACCCACCACCCTCCAGCCTTGGCAATGCCCGGCACCCCCAGGGCCCGGCACAGCCAGGAGGCAGCTCAGGGCTCTTCTGTCCCCGGGCAAGAGGGAGGAACTGAAGGCAGCCAGGGTTCAGAGAACCTCAGCTGGTGGCCGCTGGGGGACCCCCAGGACCACAGCAGTGGCCTGCAGGTTCTCAGCAGTGTCTCAACCCAACTCACACTCACCTAACAGCAAAGGCGGGCACGGTCCCCCGGGTTACCCAGAGCGCCACCTCGGCCACCACCAGTCCAGCCCAGCAGCTTCCGAGCGTGGCGAGGGTGCGGGTGAGCGAGGGCCGCCGGGCTGGTGGCCGGTGGCTGTAACAGGTGGCCAAACTCACTGACAGGCCAGCCCAGTCTGCTTGACGGAATTCTCTTTTTCTGTGATGAAACATGATTTAAGGAACCAGTCATTGTATAAAGTTTAATTTCTTATAAAATGGAGCTTTGATTCCATACCACAAAATGACACAAACTCTTTTCATTATCACAGAACAATGAGGACAGGTGTGGGAGACAGAGGCCAAGGGACCCTCAGTACCCTGTGGACAGGCCCAGTGCTGGGGGACACAGCCCATGCACCCCTGCCTCGTGGGCCCAAGCGCTCATGACAGACACAGATGCTACACCAATGACAGTGGGACACAACAACCAGGTCGCCGGGTAAGGCTGCACAGGGACGGGCCCAGGCACCTGCCTCACCCACAACATGGTTTGAAAGAAAGACTCGGGGTGCACAGGGTCATGGGAGGCCTCGGGCTCTGTGGCCAGCAGGGCCACATCCCCCTGGCAGAGCTGGTCCGAGTGAGCAGGACGGTGTCACTGGGCTGATTAAAGCGATACTATTGACGTGAGCTTGGTTCCTTTTTCAAGTTCTATTGGTCCTTATCAGTTTAGTTTTGTTGCAGGGCTGTGTGTTCTCCAGCAGTGGGGAGCAGTGGCCAGGCCCCTCAGGGCAGGGTCCCCCAGGCCCAACCCCATCTGCAGGGAGGTGGGAGGGGGACATCTGGGCAGGGCCGGGCCAGCCACACTTCACAGGACACAGAGGGCTGGGCCAGCAGCGTTTCTGTAACTGGTACTGAAGCTTTCTGACATTTGATCTGCCTGTGTCGCCGGCCAGGGTGGGGGTTGGCAGGGAGGTCCTCGCTGAGTGTCAGCCCTGGCTCTGAGCCTAAGGAATTCATACTAAGTTCTAGAGCAGGCTGATGTATTGAGATATTAACATCTGCTGGGTTTTTCCAACACCCAGTCCAAGCAGGGAGCGAAGCCATTTGTGTTTTCCTTCCCTTGGATTTCCCCAGAGCAGAAGCCAGTGAAGTCCCCACTCTGCAGCCTGGAGTGAACGCTGGACTCGTCGCAGAACCGAGTGTGGGAGCTCCTGGCCTGGAGAGGGGAGCAGCCCCCCAGCCTGCAGAAAGCCGGGCCTGGGAGGCAGAGGGCCACCGGACAAGGCTCGTGCACCTCTGCCCATGTGGTTTTCACTTCTGGCCATTCCTAGGTCCCCAGCTCTTGCCTCGTGCAAACCTGGCCCGAGGTGAGCGCTCCCCAGGGCAGGTGGTAGCTTTACAGAGAGCGACGGCCACTGTCACTGGCCCACAGCCATCTCCCCGTCCCAGTCCACACGGAGGGGTCTCACAGAGGGCCACCCCCCATTCTCAGGGCATGTGGTGCTTGGAGCCCCGGAGACTCGGAGCAGAAAGACAGAGGCCCTAACCCAGACCTCCAGCGCCACTGGACTGCAGGCACGAGCCGACAGTCACTGGCTTCCAAATCTCTGCTCCTAGGAAAAAAGCAAATCCCTGGTATTGAGCCACCATCAGCCACACATTTGATTACAAAGAGCATCTTAAGTGACACAAAAGACCCACAGTCGTGGCACTGAGTATCTTCCCTTCTCCACACTCTGGACCAGGCCCCCTGACGGGCACAGCTGGGGGAAGCCAGCAGGAGCAGCCCCGGAGAGGGTGGAGGAGAGAGGGATGGAGTATAGGAGCATTTGCTCCCTGGCTCCTCCCTGAGAGTCCCCCATGGGGCTGCCTCCCTCCGCAGAGGCCACAGCCCCTTCTGGGCAGCCCCCGACACAGCTGCCTTTTCCGTGAGCTCAGGCTGAAAGGCAGGTGGAAACGAGGCCCCGGAACCCCCAGGGCTGCGGCGCTAAGTCCTGCAGCATCGGTTGCTCGTGAGCACTGTGGAGCCGTGCAAATGGCCAGTAGGCCGTGGAAAGGTGACCAAGATCCCCAGAGATTAAGGAGACGCAAAGCAAAACCACAATGAGACATCGTTTCACACCTGCCAGGAGGCCGTAATGTAAAAAGAGAAAACAACAAGTGTCGGTGAGGATGTGGGGAAACCGGAACCCTTGTGCATTCCTGCTGGGGAGGTGAAAGGGCGCAGCTGCGTGGAAAACCATGCGCAGTTCCAGAAAAACCTCCGCATAGAGTCACCTTATGACCCGGCAATCCCATTCCCGGGCATGTCCTCCCAGAAAGTAAAAGCAGGGACCTGAACAGATACTTGCACACCAGTGTTCAAGGCAGCCCTGTTCACAACAGCCGGAAGGTGGAAACCATCGACGAACGAATTGGAACGTTCCCAACACAAAGGAAAGATAAAAGTTCGAGGTGCTAGATATCCCAGTCACCCTGATCTGCTCATTACACACTGTATACTGGCATCAAAATATCACGTACCCCCAAAATATGTACAACTATTATAAATCAATTAAAAAACAAATGAATGGGCCAGCTGCAGTGGATCATGGCCACAATCCTAGCACTCTGGGAGGCCAAGGCGGGAGGATTGCTTGAGGTCAGGAGTTCAAGACCAGCCTGAGGAAGAGCGAGACCCCGTCTCTACTAAAAATAGAAAAATTAGTGGGGTGTTGTGGCGCACCTGTAGTCCCAGCTACTCGGGAGGCTGAGGCAGGAGGATCGCTTGAGCCCAGGAGTTTGAGGTTGCTGTGAGCTATGATGACGCCGACTGCACTCTAGCCCGGGTGACAGAGCGAAACTCTGTCTCAAAAAAAAGACAAAAACCAAAAAATGAATGAAATGAAATGTGGCATATACATACAATGGGATGTTACTCAGCCATGAGAAGGAATGAAGTTCTGACACAGGCTAAACATGGGAAACATTAAAAACATCACACTAAGTGAAATAAGGCAAACACACAAGGGCAAATATTGGATGATTCCACTTATACGGAACATCCGCAACAGGCAAATTCATAGAGACAAAAATTAGGTCAGAGATCCACAGGGGCTTGGGGGAGAGAGGAACGGGAAGTTATTGTTTGGTGGGTACATGGTTTCTGTTTGGAGTGATGAAAAAGTTTGCAAAATAGTGATGATGGTTGCACGATACAGTGAATGTCATTAGTGCCACTAATTGTACACTTAAAAATGGTTAAAATGCCAAACTTTGTTACATATATTTCATCACCATTTAAAAAAATTAATGTAATAAACCCAAATCCCTTGAATCATACACTGTAAATGGGTGAACTGTGTGGTATATGAATTGTATCTCGATAAAGCTGTTAAAACAGATACTGAGGAATCAGAGCCTCTTTCGACAGCCCCCTGGAGAGCAAATCCAGGAAACGGAGACGTTGAAGGATGGGAATGTTCAGCCCAGAGCTCGGCCGACAATCAGAAAGCCTGGGGGTGGCTCTGGAGGAGTCGCCCATCTCCCGTGGCCACAGGAGAGACGGACGTGGCCGGGGCCTGGCTGGGCAGGCTGGAGAGTCGCCCGAGCTGTTAAACTCACACTGCTCGGCCGCCAGGCTTCCCGGGCTCAGGAGCTGTGGGGAAGGCGCAGGCGCCCGGCGCACGGCAAGGGCTTTGGGGCAGACGGAGCAAAGGGCAGAGAGCTTCCAGCCCCCAGTGTCCCCGAGCCCCCCTTGCCAACGTGGGCTTCCCTTCCCCTGTCGCGGGGCACCGCCCGCAGTCCATGGAAGCTCTCAAGGACAACCTGGGGTCGCCTCTCAAGAGGACCAGCTCTCCTCAGAGCCACCCATCCCTGTGGCCTCCAAGAGCAGACCCTGGCGAGGCTGGCACACAGCCCCAGTTCTTCACAGCTCCCCGTGCCCACGCCTGCGCCAGGAACCTTCTGCGGGAGGCGAGAGACAACGTGCAAACCAGCAGTGCCAGACCGCGCGGAAGAACCGAACTCTCACCCGCTCTGCAGCAGCCAGCCCAGGAAGCCCACCACCACCAGACAGCCCCAGGGCCGCCCTTGACTCCCGACCACAGGGGCCCTGACCTCCACCCGCTTCCAACTCAGGGCCGGCTGGGAAAGCCAAGGACGCACCTCACCAACCACATAAGATGCCCCCCGCGGAGCTAGCCCGCGCCCGAGGCCGCGTGTGCTGCTGGAACAGAACACCGCAGACTGGGTAACTGACCAAACACAGAAACGTATTTTCTCACAGTTCTGAAGGCTGGAAGTCCCAGGTCAAGGCGCCAGCGGGAGCCTCTGGCTCCAAGATGGCGCCCGGAGCGCTGCGTCTTCGCCTGGAGGGCAAGAGGGGCTGAGCTCGCCCTTTGGCCCTTCACCCTTGACCTTCGCAAGAGCATTAATCCAACCAGGGAAGGCAGAGCCTCCCGGCCTAATTGCCTCTTAAAGGTCCAACCTCTTAATGCCGTCACAGTGGCAAGGACATTTCAACACGAGTTTCAGGGGGACACACTGTCACACCACAGCAGTCTGCCTCCTGCGTCCTCCCACCAGCCGCCCCAGGGCACCTCTGAGCTTCCCCATGTCCACTGGGAATCTTCCCCTCTCCCCTCCCTGCCTTGAAGTCTCTGCCTGACCCAAGTGACGGTGGCCGACATCCTTCCTGGCAAGCCCTGAACAGAGACCCTCTGCTCATTCTCATCTGGGTCGGCTTCGTGTATCTCCACAAACACCAGTGCCTGCCCCCCACACGCCAGCCCTCCTGGGCCACAGCCCACCTCCCGCTGGTGCTAGCCCTGCAGCTGCATGCACAGGAGGAGAATAGATCGAGTTGGCTCAGCAAGCACACTGCGCTTTCATTCAGGAAAACATTGCCCCAGCCTCACCTCGCCAGGGACAAAACCCAGGTGGGAATTTTGGAAGTACCTATTGGCGCTGGGAGAAGGGTCCCAACCCCTGTGTAAACCCAGTCCCCAAGTCCTCCGCCTTGTGTCAGGAGCAGGGAAATTTTAGGAAGGGGCCACTCCGAATGGGGTGCAGGAATCAAATCCTCAGTTTTGCTGTTAAGGTAGACAGCCAGTGTGGAAAACTGCCTGACAATTTCCATCAACATACCCCTCCCCTACCCCCAGCCATTCCACTCCTAAGCATTCACCCAGGAGAAACGAACACACATCCACATCAAGACCTGTCCTCAGATGTCCACAGCAGCTTTATTCGTGATGGATCAAAACTAGAGCGTGGATAGGCAAATTGTGGTGCATTCATACCATGAGTCGCTATTCAGCATAAAAAGGGAAGAATCTGCTGAGACCTGCAACAACAGGATGAAGTTCAAAAGTACGGTGCTGAGTTAAAGGAGCCACACCGAACGAGCCCACGCTGTGGGATTCTATTCGTGTGAGATTCCAGAACTGGCAAAACTCATCTATGGGGCGGGCAGAGGGTTTCACTTTTGCAAGATGAAAAGTGGTGGACGTTGGCTGCCCAACACTGTGAATGTGCTTAACACTACCCGAGTGTACGTTCAGAAATGGTTAAGGTGGGGCCGGATGCCGTGGCTCACGCGTGTAGTCCTAGCACTTGGGAGGACAAGGCAGGAGGATCGCGTGAGGCCGCGAGTTCGAGACCAGCCTAAGCAAGAGTGAGACCTCATCTCTCTATAAAAAATAGAGACAATTAACCAGCTCTCACACCCGTGGTCCCAGCTACTCAGGAGCCTGAGGCGGGAGGGTCATGTGAGCCCAGGAGTTTGAGGCTGCAGTGAGCTATGATGACACCACTGCACTCTAGCCTGGGCAACAGAGTAAGATCCTGTCTCAAAAAAAAAAAGGTTAAGATGGTAAGTTTTATGTGTATTTTACAATTAAAACGTTTTTTTAAATTAAAAACAAAACAAAGACTAATCTATGGGGAAAGAGATCAGAACAGTGGTTGTTTCTGCAGATGGGGGATTGGCTGCCAAGGGGCAGGCGTAGGAGATGCTCTCTGTCTTGAAGGGTGTGGCGGTTACAGGGCATATGCATTCGTCACACGTCATCAACCTATATACACTTTCAATAGGTGCGTTTTACCCTAAATAACGTATAATTCCATTACAAAATAAATAAAGGAAGACGCGGTGCAGGAGGCTGCAGTACTTGGGGACCCCGACGCATCCGTCCCCGCCCACCCAGGCAGGGCCGCAGCTCTGCCGCACACCCCTGCCCCGGCTCCCTGCACGCGTGTCTGCTCCGTCCCCTGGTGTGCACATCCCGCTTCCCCAGCACCTGGCTCCTTCCTCTGATTAGGGACGGTGGGTGGGGCAGGATCCTGTACTCCTGCGGGGCAGGTGTGGGGCCGCCTCCCCGTCCCACGCAGCTGTGCTGGTTCCCATGGCCTGGGCAGCCCACTGTAGGGCGGGAGGGGCGCAGCGGGCAGGGCACAGCCAGCTGTCGGCTCCCAAGGCCACGGCCACGGGTCGGCTCAGGCAAGGCGGGGCTGCCAGGGCCTGGCCCCTGTGCTCTCTCCCCCTATGCTGGGCCACCCCGAGAGATGGCCAGTTCTCAGCTGGTTCCTCATCTGCACCAGGGCCCTCCTCGCTGTGCTCCGACTCCTCCACCCTGGCTCCGGTCCCCTTGGGCCACAAGGGCCTTTCCTGCCACACCCGGGTGCTGGCTTTTCTGCACCCTGCGCCTGGACGTGTCTCTGCCCGAGATGCACCTGGCTGCTCCACAAACTAAATGTCCCCTTCAGAGCGAGGCCCTCCTGGCCGCTTAGCTGGTGGTGATGTATAATTTGCTTATTTTTAAAATAGACTCTCTTCCCAACCTCTCCCACCCTTGCTCACGTAAGCGTGCCGCAGGCAGGAATTCGTTGTTGATTTCCTCTGGGCTATTGCGGTCGTGGGGCTGGTGAGCGCAGGCTGATGGGATGAACCAACCTGCGGAACAGTAGGTTTCCTGCAGACCAGGCCACACGACATCTGTCTCCTGCTCTGCTTTTTCCACCTCGTACGCTGTTGCCTTCCCTCCCTGTCATTAGACAATCTTCTAGAATGAGCCAACACTATGAATTCAAGGAACAGAAATACAAAGAACCGACTAGTGTGGAATGTGTTAAGCTGGTCCCGGTGCTGTCCAGATGGGTGGGGGCGTTTTGTCCTATGGGATCCATGCTAGAAGCCTCCCCATTCGAATACATAGAAACAGGATCAGAGAGGGTAAGTAACTTGCCCAAGGCTCCACAGCTGCCTGACAGAAACCTGTGCCATGAACAAACACCTTGCAGTCATCAACGCAATGGAAATTCAAAGCAGCCAAGAGGCACTTTCCTGTGCATCTAGGGCCACTTGCCCTGCTTCTGGCAGCCTCAACCCCAAATTGCTCCCTCCCCAGTTTCTCAGTAGTTGGGAAAGGGCTGCACCACCCACCCTGTCGCCCAAACCAGGAGCCGGGTCTCCCTGACGCCCACTATGCCTTGAGGTCCAGCCTGCATCAGCTATCATCAGGGTAACAGCAGGGCCCCCTGCTGGTCCCCAGGCCCACTCTTGCCCCAGGATGCCCCATGTTCAGCTCTGGGGCCCGGTCACTGGCGCCTGTGTGCAGCGCCAGCTCCGCGCGAATGTGTGGAGGGCAGCTCATCCCTCCAAGCCGCCCTGCACACGGCCCAAGTGACTGCCGCAGATGTCGACTGAGCCTTTGCTTCTTAGCCGTCCTGAGACCAGGTGGCCTCCCCCGCCCACCCAAGCCGCTGTCCCACACCCCAGGGCACAGGCCTTCCCCCGAGCCTCTCCCCTACTTTGCCACACTGCCCAGGGGTTTTCAGGCACTAACAGATCCACTAAATCCTTTGTCCAGTGTCCTCCAGACCAGGAGGCTAGGCTGGAGCGCAAACCCAGGGCTTCTGCACTCGTCCCCTGGAGGACCCCTCCTGAGGCAGGGCCTGGGGGAGGAGGCTGTGGGTCGAAGGCCACCTCGTTTAGCCCCAGCTCAGCTGGGGCCGCAGCTGCTGCCATCCCAGGCTCCCACGCCAGCCCTGCTCTGGCACATCCTGACCACTTGGGCACACTCCCACGCCAGGGACTATCGCCCAAGGTCTCCAGATAACAACCTGGCGCACAGGTATGTAATGGGGAGCCCTCAGGCAGGCGTCCTCCACCTCTGTGACCCAAGCACCATGGCCTGCCTCTGGCTCCGGTCCTGCTGGGCCCTCCTGGGCACCGCCCCCTTTCAAGCTTGGAGACATGTCCTCTCTCCTTCCCGCAGGGCGACTCTGGCGGCCCCCTGGTCTGCCAGAAGCACGGAGCCTGGACCCTGGTGGGCATCGTGTCCTGGGGCAGCGGCACCTGCTCCACCTCCACGCCCGCCGTGTACGCCCGCGTCACCGCGCTCCTGCCCTGGGTCTGGAGGCTGAGCCCCTCCCCTCCCCACCATCTGTGTGAAAAACTCAAATAAAACCACTGAGAGCAGCTGCTTACACCTTGGTGTCTGCGTCCTCACCAGGGTGTGTGGGGGTTGGGAGGATGGTTGCCAGCACTCGGGACCCTTCTGTGGAGTTTGGAGCCAGGACAGCTGGCAGACCACCCAGCCCTATCCTCTTCTTTGTACAGACAGGTAAACTGAGGCCCAAGTTCATATGCAGAATGGTGAGAGCTGAGCAGCACCAGGGGAGCCAGACACACCCTGCAGCCCCCATCTGGGCCACAGGCTGCAGGGGACACACACTGGCCGGAGCAAGGCCCTTCTTTGGTCCCCTTCCCAACTTGGAGGCCAAGTCCGTGTGGAATCCCAATAACATACTTTGGAAGTTCCACAAACTGGAATGTTAAGTTTCTTTCCAAGCTAAGCTCTGGGTAAGGCCTGTGACAGTGAATTTCTCGTGTGCATTCATGTGTCCCCCAGAGGTACCCTCAGCCTACGGGGTCTCTCCTCAGGGGTGGGGGGTCCCAGGAGGGCTTGTCCCCCACTGGGCTGCTCCTGGCCCCACACCTGCCCTTGCTACAGATGTCTGGGCTCCATGGATGATTCAAGGGGACAGGGCTGCCACCCCCGATGGGTGCACTCAGGCTGTGCCTCTGGGCCTCAGACTCTGCATCTCTGACAACTGCTCCCCAACTTTTCTCCAGTGCCCAGCTCTGCCCAGGCCCCCGCCTGGCTCCCAAGGCCTGGTGGCTATTTGCAGGCCCACCTTGCAGGAGACACCCCAGCCCCAGCTCCCAGCCACACCCTGCTTCCCAGGGCCTTGGTTTTCTTCTGAAGGGACCCACTTTTTCTTCACCCTCCCCAGAGATGCCACCTGGGTCCTCACCCCGCTAAATCACTTCCCCTGAAGTCTGTCACTCGAGGGCCGAGGACACACCTGTCTTCCCACCCACAGCCTCTGTCTCATCTTGAACACATCTCAGGCAGCTGCTTTGCATTTTTAAAATTTTATTTAAATGTAGACTATTCGTCAAATGATTGGAAAATCAATAATGAAAAATAGTTCTTTAGGGTTTTCTCCTGGTGCAGAGAAAGGACATGTGATAGCTGCACTTGCCCTGGTGGGGGGCCAGGGTCAGCCCGAGGGGTCACACACGGCCCTGTGGGTTGAGGGATCCTCATGCCCCCGGCCACAGTCCCTGGCATGGTGACCCTCCCCGGCCACAGTGCACGCAGGGAAGACCGCCAGCCAGCCCTCGGCACCAGCTCCTCTGAGGCCGTCCCACATCCTGCCCTGTCATAAATACGTATAAATCCCTGGACAGTCTGGGGCACCAGGCCCAAGGCAGAGCTGGGGTTGCCTGTCCCCAAGCCTGTGGCACATCGACTCTTCAGATGGGCGCCTGGGGTAGCTTGGACCATCACCGCCCCCCTCATGTCCTCCTGGTCACCTGTTCTCAGGCAGCTGCCAGCTGGCCCAGGACCCGGCGGAACTGCTGGGTGCTGTGGCCCAGCTCCTTGACCCTGTCCACCATGTCCTGGGCAGCGGAGGGCGATGGGTACTGCAGGGCAGCAGCCTTGGTGGTGGCCACGATGCCGCGCAGGAGGTCACACAGCAGGTTACTGTAGTGGGTCACCTGGCTGCGCACGTCGGCTGCCTTGGCCTGCCGCGACAGCGTGTCCCCGATGAACACCAGCTTGTGGGCGCTAAGGATGACGAACTTGCTGTGCGCCACGAAGATCTTGGGTGGCTGGTTGGTGGCCACGGCGGTGAAGAAGGCGTCCACGGCGTTGGTCAGTGTGGTCAGGTTGGCCTCGCACTGCTCCAGGTAGAAGAGCAGCAGCTGCCGGTCCGAGGGCCCCAGGCTGCCTGTCCTCCCTGGGCCCAGGGGCTGCGCTGGTGTCCACCTGGCCAGGTCGTGGTCTATGGGCCGTGATACCTCCTGCTCCAGGCGCTCAAACTGCTTCAGCTGGAGTAGCAGGGGAAGCAGGACAAGGTCAGGCTCTCGGCAAAGTCAGGACCACAGCCAGAGGGCTGGGCAGACTGCCCTGGGCAAACTGGCCAAGGCTTTTCTAGAAAGGGCTACTCCTCGGAACCCATGAACTGTGGAGAAACAGGCAATCTCCTGTCCTAGTGGTGGGTGGGGCCACATACTGCTAGTCTTCTAGAGGTTAACACATTAACTGCCATGTGAGTTGTATTTAATTCACGCTAGGTTTGAGCCCGGGGCCTCGTGAAGCATGTGTAACTCACACGTCTCCGCCTTGGGAGCCTTCCTGATTTTTGAAATTGGCATGTAACTCACACGTCTCCGCCTTGGGAGCCTTCCGGATTTTTAAAATTGGCTTGTAACTCACCCACATAAAGTGATACAAAACATCAAATTGTTCATTAAATTAGAAAGGATCATTTTGTTTTCGAAGCTTTTATTCTATTTTCACAATAAAACACTGTGGCCCCAAAGAAAAAACTTTTTTTTCTAGTGTGGCAGTCAACGTGTTAAATTACTCTTCCACCAACCTTAAAAGGTAGGATTCCATTTACTTAACATTTTTGAAATGGGACGATGATAGAGATGGAGAACCAATCAGTGGCTGCCGGGGGCTGGGGTGTCACCACCCCACTCTGGGTACTGGACTGTAATTACTTAGCACTGGGCAAACCCAGTGAACGGTGCTGGGGACCTCCCTGCACTCTCTCTGCAACTTCCTGTAAATCTATAAATATTTCTAAAAAAAAAAGGTCTTAGTTCAAACGTAACACACACATTATAAAAGCATTCAAATATACCAAGTGGAACAAGGGTAGACATCACCTGTAACCCTGTGCCCCTAAAAATAATCTCTGTTAAAATTCTGGTGAATTCTCTTTTAGAACTATATAGTGAAGAATTTGCAGATGAAATGGCATAATGTCTTCAAAATAATTTACAAAGAAGGAAGGGAGGCAGATGAAACAGGATTAGCTGTTGCTCTGATAACGGCGGATGCTGCCAGATTCTTGGGGGTTCACTTTTTCTAATGGGTACCTGGGGGGCTATTTTCTCCAATTTTATAAATGTATTAAATTTTCCATAGTAAAAATTTTTCTTTTTTCAGAGACAGGGGTCTTGATCTGTTACCCGGGCAGGAGCGCAGTGGAGCGATCATAGCTCACTGTGGCCTCCAACTCCTGGGCTCAAGCGATCCACCTGCCTCGGCACCCTGAGCAGCTACAGCCGTGCGCCACCACGCCCAGCCCGACAGGAAAACGTTTAAGCAAAGGAAAAAGGCATGTGGTGTTAGCAAAATATTCAGAAAGTAAAAATTGACACATACAAAAAAAACTGGTGAATATTCTTTAAGACATTTTCCTTTAAATATGAACACTCCCATTTCCTTTTTAATTAGAAAAATGCAAACACTATATATAACATATTGTTGCCTGCTTTTATCACATAACATTGTTCAGTCCTTCCATGTCAGTGAGCATGTATAAAAGCATCTAAACTTTTTTCTAATCCTACTTCTGATATGTGAAAAAAAAAAGAAAAAATT